GGGCCCCATCACACTATGTGTCTGATTCAATGTTGGTGTGGTTTTAAGCCACTAAGTGGGTGGCACTTTGTTAGCCAGCGTTAGAAATGTCATCTGGGTGGAAACGCTGTCCTTGTGGAGGAAAGGCCTTCCTTCTCGGGCCCAGCCAGAGCTCCCACCTCTCAAACCTCTGTGCAGGCAGTGCCGCCCGCTCTCTGGACTGTGCCATCTTCTTCTTCTTCTTTTGGTGTTTAGTATTTGTAGAAATAGAGTGGTGTAGTGATTTCCAAATGATTTTGACCGTGATTGTTGGTACAAAACCGTTTTTACATTGAAACTCCGTTTACTCACAAACTCAACTGAAAGAAAAAAAATTCCTCCAGAAGACTTAACCCTTAGGATGTCAGGTGCATTCTGACATCTTCTATTTTGTTTCATTTTTAAAAAATGTCGCTCATGACTCACTCAGTTTGTTCACTGGCTTTTCCAGAGTTGGAAAATCAGTACAGCTGGCTGTGCTGCTTTAGTTTTATTTTACTTCTCAAACTTTTGATCACATGCTATTTAAAAAATGAATTTGTGGTTAGGAAATACGTGTTCATGGTAAAAAGGATGTCATGGTTGGGAAGGATCTCCACTGAAGTCCTTGTTCCTCATGCCCAGGGGCCCTGGTCTCCCTCCATGTTTCAGAGGAAACCACTATTAGGAGCCTTGCAGTGTAGTCTGCATGGGCCAGCACCCAGGGCATGGCTGTCCCCTCTGCCTGTCCCTCTGTGCCCCCAGCACTGGGTAGAACAGCCCCTTCTGCTTCGCTGTATGACCACCTCGTGTTCCTTTCTCTCAGTGTATTAACTCAGTCAGCTCTGTGCCCACGGGCACTGGGGTTATGCCAGGCAATTGCTCCCCCAAACAGTGCTTGCTGAGCAAACCCGTTTGTGCATATGTGTGAGGATGAATTCGGAAAGAAGAATTGCCAGGACAAAGTGAATGTGCATTTGTAATTTAGTAATTGCCAGATTGCCATCTTATGGAATTTAGCAATTTGCTTTCACACCAGTCGTGTAGAAGCATGGATGTTTTCCCACATATTTGCCAACACAGGTATCAGGTGATATAAAAAGAAAAAAACAGGCTTTTTTGGTGTTGTTGCTGATGGTATATCTCATTGTAGTTTTAATTTGTAGTTCTCATTGTAAGAGAGGCTAAGCAGCTTATGTTTGGAGAGCCATCTAAATTGGGAAATCCTTTTCCCATTTTTTCTGTTGAGTTTGAGGTCACTTGTAAACAGGAGCCCCACTTATCTCTTACCCTCCTTATCCAGTCATTCTTCAAACTGCTCCTGGCTTAAAAGCAAATGAACCCAACCAGACCATTTCTTGTGGCCCCTATACCTGTTGATATAAATCAGATGGGTGAATTCACTTTTGTTGGGGACCTGAGCCCCAGATGTTTAAAAGTAGCTTTGTCAGTAAAGGAAAAGAAGACCCACTGAGGGTTTACAGCAGAGAAGGAGGGAACGGTTGGTAGAGAGAGGGAGGTTGGGAAGTAACCTACTGGAAGGAACAGGGAAAGGACATGAAGCAAGAAGAGAGCTGGGGAAGGTCCGGCTGGTGTCCTGCAGTGAGAAAGTCCCTCTGATGTGAAATTGTTAAGTTCCCGGCATGAACGGAGAAATTACTTCATGAGTCTGTCATGATAACCCTTTCTGTGGCAGCAAGCTCTCGCAAAAGGAAATGCCAGCTTCTCTACTGAAGCTATATGGGAAGTTTTCCTTCGGTTGTTTTGGCAGCATTGATAAAAGAATTTAAAACAACGAGTCTGATAGGAAGGACGACCCTCAAATGACTTGAGTACTGACGATTGTCTAAAATTGTCATTCCTAAGAAATACAATCAACTGGGTTTAGGCCTAGATGCAATCCAGACATTTGTTTGCATAATTGATTACGACATCTTAAGAAGAGGGGATTTTTTACAAAAATTTTTTTGTACTGAGATTGCTTTACATTCCTTTACAGGACCAGAAAATCTCTTGTTTGAGAACCAAGAAAAACCTCGGGAACACAGGGCTTTAGTTTTTTTGACACATGGGAATGTTCTCATTATGACCATGTACACTTTTATCAGCAACATTCCTGTGTGGTCTGATCTTGTAGAAGAGAGAGGGTTCTCTCCTTTTCCCTTAAGGCAGACTGCTTAAGGCAACGACTGCTGACTCATAGCCTCCCCCATGCCACCCGGCTGCTCTCCTCAGGATGAGCGGGGGAGCGGTTTAGTGCTCCAGGCCTCTGAGAGTGGCCCCTGACCTATCTTGACCTCCCCAGTTGGACCCTGGCACTGTATTTGAACTGTATTTCTAGGCTACATTTTTTTCTTGCTGTCAACGATCAATCCAGTCTTTTTAAATCCTCATCGGTAGGTTGATAGGTTTTACTCAACTTGATACCAGCCGCAAGTTAAGCTCTTTAAAATTGTTCATGCTGTGCTTTGGTGATGGTTTGACATGTAGACTGGTCCCGAACTTCAACATGGGCTCCTCTTTAACTGGAAACAGCAGGAGCCTCTTATGAGATCTGTGATAGCCCCACAAATCTTGCTTGTTTTCTCATTCTTATTGGAGAAGGGGTCCTCCAGGATAAGAAATTTGTTGGTTTGTGTGTCTGTCTGCATTTATTTATTTATAAAGATTTCATTTATTGAGATAATGGGGGAGAGAGAGAGAGATGAGCAGGGGGGAGGGGTGGAAGGAGATGCAGACTCCCTGCTAAGCAGGGAGCCCCATGTGGAATTTGATCCCAGGACCCTGGGATCATGACCTGAGCTGAAGGCAGATGCTTTACTGAGACACCCAGGTGCCCTGTTGGTTTGTGTTTATATCAAACAACAGAAAGTAGATTTTAAAATTTTCCTTGAAACCTCATGATCTAATGAGAAGAGAAAATTTTTTCTCTATAACTGGGAGCCTTGTTGAGGCTTGGACATTACCTGTTGAAGGTGTCTCGTGATATTTTTGTGGGATTAGATAGGATGAAATGAGGACAGGGACACAGAGACAGGATGCTGAGACTATTCCTTTTTCCTGAATAAGCAGATCATGGGCTTAGGACAGCTGCCACCAATTCACAGGCATGATGCTCTGCTGCAAGTACACAGGTGACTGTGCGGGTTCCCAGGGGTCCGCCTGAGACATGGAATCCACGGGGAAGTGATCCCAGCTCCTGCTGTGGGTGTGGACCACCTCCCTGCTTCCTTAGTACAGGCTTTTTTCTGCCCTGAGGCTCTTCCCTCCTGCCTCCAAGCACTCCCTTGTTTTGGGGCATGTGATGATGTTATCACAACCCCAGACCTTTTTGACCTGGGTCACTTGAACTCAGGACAGGAGTGAGAAGCCATTTTCTTTTGATTTCGGCTTCCCATCTGAGACCTGCCTCCTCCCAGGACACTGAGTATTTTCCACGTTCAGTTAGAACATGTAGGTTCTTTGGTGACTCAGCAGCTGTGCTAGTTGAGTACTGCTGCATGGTTTTAGCACACACATGCAGTGTGATATCATGTAACTTCTTGGACCAAGTTTCAGGTTGAGCTGGATTTAAAGTGATGTTTAGTTCTTCTGCTGGGGAGCAGGAAGAGTGGTCCACTGAAGCCCTCAATCCGACTGCCAGGCCTGGCTCTCTCCCCACGTGGGCGCATTTACTGGAGAGGGCAGATGGAGAGAGCTTCTGGACAGTGGTGCTGCTGGCTTGGTGGGTGGTCCATGGCAGGGGTCCCGTAGTTTCAGTGCCAGGATGAGGGCGTGGCCCTGGGGGATGGCGCTTAGCGAGACTAGGGGCGTTTTCCTCAGCGGGGAAATTGTGGGGCTCCCTCGAATGAAGGAGCAGGGCCGAAGGCCACTTGGAGAGGGGTGGGGAAGGTAGGGTGGGCAAGGTAGGGAGGTAATGTGGGCTTTCATGTGGCTGTTCAGGTTGTGTGGGGCAGATATGCTGCCTGTGTTAGGAGGGAGGAATGCATTTATGTGAATGCACATGGTGCTCCCAGGGCCGTGGGAACTCAGGAATGTGCGTCTAGAGAAGGCTTAGCAAGGAGCCCGCAGAGGGAGGCTCAGGCACACTCTTTCTCTTTCCGCTGTGGTGCTCCTTCACCCTCCTAGAGCTCCTTTCTCATTTTGGCTTGTTTATAAACTCTCAGGGCCCTTGCTCTAGGTCGTGACACATTCTTTCAAATTTAAATTTTCTTGGTTCTTTTTCTTAATTCCAAATCCCATGATTAGAACTCTGGGGAACCGTCAGTGCTCACCCCCATCCTGGGCCCCAGGTTGAGCTACGGATTGATGGCCCTGTGATCAACTAGTTTCCCTTCTGTGTAAAGAGATCTGGTGGGGTAGCAAGGTTTCCTGGACCCAGTGTGAGGTGAGTAGGAGAGAGCCCTCACATCCAGCCACCCTGATTAGGATTACCCCCCGGAACCAGGTTAAAGAGAGCCAGGTAGGGAAGGTAAGCACTGGCAGGGATGGCCCCTCACATTTCTTTTGCATTTGCATATACCATCTGGTACTTGGTTTCCTTCTTTCTTCCTTCCTTCCTTCTCCTTCCTTCCTTCCTTTCTTCTTGTAGGCTTCCAGTGTGGGGCTTGAACTTATACGACGCTGAGATCAAGAGTTGCGGCGCTACCGACTGAGCCAGCCAGGCATACGCCCCCTTGTCTAGTACTTGGTATATTGACTATGTATGAACTAATTAAATTCAGATGCTCAGTAAATAAGGATCACTGAATCTGCAGAGGTTGCTATTGCTGCTTTAGAGTCTCAGATAGTTCTTGGCTACGCTTGAACCCACACAGAACAAAAGAGTGCTGTTTGATTTGTCTCGCCTCCGCACATCAGGACCTTAAATATGTATGACTCAGTGAGCAGTTGGATATAGCAGGTGTTCTTAGATTCTCTGTTCATTGCCCTCCAGGAGGAGGTGGTGTTCACCATCCCTTTTGCTCTTTCCTCTGAAATTGACCGAGGGTGTGTCGTTGCAGGCTGGGGGTTCTTCGCTGGCGTCGGCTCCGGTGTCCGCCTTCCCTCGATCTTCTGTCACGCCGTCCAATCAGGACATCTGCAGGTAACGCTCTGCTTCACATGCTGGAGTGGTTCATGTGACATCCCGGAAATAAGCATTAGTGTCTGCAGGTTCTCGATTTTCCATTTGCTCGGTCAGTATGCCTTTGCTGTAAACAGCCGGCTCAGTGTTCTGTGCTGTTTGCTCCCCAGGTTACCACCCGAGTCTCATTTCTTCCCTTCGATGTCTGTTCTCAAGATTGTTTTCACTTTCTGTGCTTTTATTCCACTGTTCTCTGCATGCAGTTCCAGGGCAGTGTGTTCTGAGTGTTGTCACCACAGTCCCGTGCAGTCTGCTGTTGTCTTGAAAGCTCCTCCAGGCCCGAGTTCTCTGACACAAGGGCTCACTGTGACAGTTATCTGTAAAGACACATTGTCCAAGAGAAATTCCTGTGGTTCTGAATGGGCCCAGGCCTTGAATCCTGCTGACAATACCAAAGCCAGAAGAACACTAAAGTTCTCAAAATCCCTAAACGATGTGAGTGAGAAGGCCCAGGATACTGTGGAAACTTTTGACTACGTGGAAAGAACTTGCTCCGAAGGGAAATTGATCCTCCCTCCAGATCCGGGTCTGAGAATTAACAGGTTCCATCAGAAGGGAAAAAGAGTGCTGCATCACAAACCTCTTGGCAATTCCAAACATTCTTATGTTTCCTCCCTTTCTGCCCATCGGTCAACTGCCTCAGAGGCGGAAGCTGGCAAGGGGGGCATGCACATCCCTCTTTTGGAAGAGAAAGCCAATGGCGATGCCTTGTCCCGGGGCCGGCGACTGCTCCAGTACCTGTTCTCGCTCTCACACGGCTCGAGCGCCAGCAGCCTGCACAGGTTCCAGGAGCTGGAGAGCCGTGCCGCCCACCTGCACACCACCAAGTCCTCTAGTGGGCTGGCAGGGAGCACGGGCTTCTACTCCGATGAAATGGGAGACGACGATGTCTTTGAGGACAGCACATCTGCAAAGTGGAAGAGCAAGGTCCTGCGGGCGCCCCTCTGCTCAGCGGAGAAGGACAGTGACCTGGATTGTCCTTCTCCCCCCTCTGAAAAATGCCCCCCCATCTCTCCTGTGTCCACGTCAGGGGATGCCTGCAGGTTGGTTTGCCAAGAACCAGCGTTCCGGCCAGCTCTGCTCCCCATACCTCGGTGGCCTCATCTTGCTTTAATATGTGAAGTTTCAGGAAAATGAAGTAATGGGCGGTAGGTAGACGATTGTGGGTTGATAGCTTCCTCCAGAAGAGTGGAGTATTGGTGTCATTTGACAAATTTTTATGAGCTGGGTTCCAAATAGTTTCACAGATGACAAAAGAGGAAGAAGCTACACATATTAAAGGCCAAGCTGACTCTTCTCAACCAAAAATAAGTAGACTTTGCTTAAGGAAGAGAGAAAATAGTTATCTCCAGTTTGCCAGCTCGAGGATCTAGTAGTTAACCATTGGCTGCCCCTTCCAGCCTCATTTTTACCCTTTGTTCCAATTGCAACACAGCGTGAATGGGAAGAGGCCGGCCTTCTGCAGTACCTTCCTTCCTTCTTTTTAACTCGGATGTGGCCACCTCTGCCCGGGTCCTGCCTCCACTTCCCACCTTTGTCTTCCTGTGTGCAGCATCCTTGTCTGGCCTCTAGAATCTTTAAGAATCCGCTTTTGGTCACCACGCTCATGCTTTCCCTCTTCCAACCTTTCCCTGTGCGTCCCTTCCGGGCCAGCTGTTACCATTTCTAACAGTTGGATCAGAAACTCCTCTCACAGAAACAGAGAGCTGCGAGCATGGCCAGGGCTGGGGCCCACCTCCTGTCAGGTCAGGTATCCCTACCTGTTCTTCAGCAGCTGGAACAGACCCTTCTGTGTCTCAAAAGTCTGTTAAGTTCCTTGAGGTTAGTGGCTATGTCCTCTTGCATGCACCCTTAGAAATCATGAACGATTTAAAATTCTCACGTCCTCAAAAATGATTTTAAATTCTTGTGTCCTCAAAAAAGAAATGGCACCTTCTAATGGGGTTCATAGGTCCAGGAGAGGTCTTGTGTTTTCTCTGTGTACTGTCTGCGGGAGGCCGGAAACGTACTGTAGTATGGTGTGTGAAGGTGAAGTCTGTGATTACCGCCAAAAAACAAATTCATCATCTTTTTAAGTCATTGGTATTTTTGGAAAGTAGAGTGCTGGTTCCATTTTACACGGAAATTTTTCTTCTAATTGTTTTAACATGTTGTGAAGGATGCTTCCGTGTTGCCTTAAATTTGGCTTTCGGTGAAGTTCTTAAATCTTACCAAAAATGACTGCTTTGTCATTTTTTATATTGTTTTTTCCTCTCTGATGCCAAATGCCATCCAGACTTTCCATATTGGTACCGTAAGCTAGAAGTTTCTAGTTTCTAGTTTGTAGTCACTGTCCACATCCGTGTTTGTGTGTTTTGTGCCTGTGGTCCTTTCTGTGATGTTTGTTGTTGAAAGTTTTCACTGGGGGACCAGCCCTCCCCTGGAGCGTCCTCTTCTCTGGCATGCGGGTCTCCTGGTAATGCCTGGCTCTCCTCTCCCCACAGGATCTGCCACTGTGAGGGGGACGACGAGAGCCCCCTGATCACCCCCTGCCGCTGCACGGGGAGCCTGCACTTTGTGCATCAGACGTGCCTGCAGCAGTGGATCAAGAGCTCGGACGCGCGCTGCTGTGAGCTCTGCAAGTACGAGTTCATCATGGAGGTCAAGCTGAAGCCTCTGAGGAAGGTATGTGGTAGGACACCTTTGGAGGCGCCCTTGCCTCACTGAAATGAGGGCCTGGGCTGAGTCAGCATCTCTGCACAGGCGAAGCCTTGCGCTCCTCTGTCGGAAGTGGGTGCTGGCGCGTGCATTCCTGCTACTGGTGTAATCCTTTCCAGGTCTTCTTTCCCACTCCTTCCTCTTGGGAAGAAGCTCTTTCTAACCCTTCGGTCCTAAGGTGTTTTTCCGTCAAACTAAGACTGCTTTCTTGTCTGTGTCAGTTGTTTGGCCGTTGATCACAGACTGTTTTGTGACATCTTAGCATTTAATTTTATATGTATTAACTGTTCGTGTCTTCTCTCTGATTAGGACTGTTTATTATTAGACATTAGTATCTCCCTCCTGTGCAAAGCACATAGTTACTTGTTTGGTACCTGTGATAAGTATTTGCCAGTCGGTAAGGGGAGGGTGGGTGGGAAAAGAGGAACCGTAGGCCTTATGGGAAACGTGGCTCTCTTCACACCCCATGTCACGGCTCCCTCTGCACGGAGCCTCCTTTGGTTTGGGCCTCCTGTGTAAATGGTTTAATGTGTTTGTTTATATGCCCAGCACATGAGGTTTTATTTGGAAGAGTAAGACTTGTTCTTATCTCAGAATTTTGGTATGTGTATTCAAGGACAATCACACAATCAAATCACAACACATGACATTGCCAAGTGAAGGCTACATTAAGTGGTGGCAGAGCACGTCAGACATTCAAAGGAGGAAGTATGGGCTATGGGCTGGAGCCTTGGGGAGGTAGAATGGTGGTTGTGTCACAGAATGTTTGGGTGTTAAAGCCGTTTCTGAAGGATCAGTAGTAGGATTTGGAGTTAAGTGAAAGGAGTTTAAAGAGGTCCAGTTGTATAGAGAAGCATATACCAAAACAGTGTGTGTGAGCATTGCAGGGCAGTGTGGAAGGCTTGGACTGAGTGCGTCTTAGGAAATAGTAGGAGATCAGGGAGCAGGGGGGATTTTAGGAGGAAAGCCAAAAGAAGATACTATATAAAACCATAGCAGAAAGCATTCACGCTGTTGGAGAAGGCAGATGTAAACTACTTGAAGAATGTTTTGCCCCATGGATTTATTGGGTACCTACTCTGCGCTGGCCTCTCAAGTCAGGCTTATAGCACTTTGACCAATGTAGATAATCCACGAGGCTCTATTCTCAGCTTGTCCTGCACAGATCTCTCTGGAAAGACGCAATGACTAGGGCTGGCCAAGGATATGCAGAGTGTTCACACTTTGTTCTTTTTCTCTACGCTTATGTGTTTTCTTCTGATTTGGAAAGCAGTAAATGAAAAAAAAAAAATCTGGCTCTTTGGAGTAAGTTAATGAGCTCCTAGAGGAGATGGGACTTGCAGAGCCTGCTTATACCAGGAACTCTTAGCATCAGTTTCAAGCTATTGCTGCCAAAGTAGCAAAGGACCAAAGAGTGAGCGCCTCCCGCCATCACCTTCACGATGTAGTGTGACCCATCTGCTAGTGTGTCGTGGTGTCATTAACCCTCCTCCCCTTGCCCACGCTAGTCAGCGAGGCAGGGAGGTCTCGTGTGTGCCACCTGGGTCGGGGGCCAACATGCTGTTTTCATCAGGACTGAAACCATAGAGGCCTTCAGCTAGCCATGGGCTGTCTGCCTGCAAGAATAAGGAGACAGGAGGACTGATACCTGGTAGTGGTTCATAGCTCATCTTGATCCCAGCTTCTTTTCATTGCATGAAAAGTTGGCTGTCGACAGAATACCAGTGCCTGGTACCTGGTTGGTTTAAGGAGAATGACTTTTGGTATTTGGGAAAATTCATGAAGTCTGGGGAAAGGGGAGGGGCAAGAAAGCCAATCTTACCCATCTACAATGCTCTCACCCCCATTGTTGCCCTTTCCATTGGGGTCCTGCACCTCATGCTCTGTGTGTGGTCTTTCCAGTGGGAGAGGTTGCAGATGACGGCCAGTGAGCGCAGGAAGATCATGTGCTCGGTGACGTTCCATGTCATCGCCATCACCTGCGTGGTCTGGTCCTTGTATGTGCTGATTGACCGTACCACCGAGGAGATCAAACACGGACAGGCAACAGGTATGTATGTGCTCAGGGTGGAAGAGGAGCACAGCGTAGACATCCTGGATAACACACAGGGGTGCTAGGATCGGGACATCGTTCCAGATCGGTTTTTAAGTCAGGCTTCAAATATCTGGATTTCTGGAGTGGGGGCATCAGTTAAGAGGCACCAAGCATCCTTTTTGGATGTTTCTCTTGCTGTGGTGAGTACTTCTTAAAAAACCCAGTCAGAAGAGATCAGTCAGGGAGAAGAGAGGGAGAATCTCCTGGAAGAGCAGCAGGATAAGAGAATGGACACCCTCTGGCTCCCCACTTACGATGAAGCAGGATTTGATGAGTAAAGATTCCATTGGTTATGGGAAGGTCAGAAGTTGTGTTTTATTTACTTCAGATCTTAAATTAGGTCTGCAGATAGGCTAACCGGGTTTTTCCCCTTCCAGGAATCCTAGAGTGGCCCTTTTGGACTAAACTGGTGGTTGTGGCCATCGGCTTTACCGGCGGACTTCTTTTTATGTACGTTCAGTGCAAAGTGTACGTGCAGCTATGGAAGAGACTCAAGGCTTATAACAGAGTAATCTATGTTCAGAACTGTCCAGAAACAAGCAAAAAGAATATTTTTGAAAAGTCTGCACTAACAGAAGCCAACTTTGAAAATAAAGATGGACATGGAATCTGTCATTCTGACACAAACTCTTCTTGTTGGACAGAACCTGAAGACACTGGAACAGAAATCGTTCATGTCTGATTTTGTGGAGGAATAGTTTTCCTAGACATCAAAGAACCGCTGAAGGAAATTGTTTACTGTCAGTTGTGTACCTTTCCTTATGTCCTTTAATAGCATAGACCGGGCAGGTGACTGTTTTAATGGCTTCTCTTTTTCTAAACCCTCCTTAGTGAATCTTCTGGAAAGCCCTCACGTTGGCTGTGCATGGCCGGGTTCCCCTTCTGCCAGCATTTGCATGGGAAGGGAGGTCCCCGTGATGCTCTATGATGGGATGCTGGCTGTTCTGGCTCATGAGCAGAATGAGAGAATAAAATGCCAAACCCAAGGGAAGAGCAGGAGCAGGGTGGCACCCTGGCCTCGAAGCCTGGCCTCTCCCAGTTGGCAGCAGTCCCTACCCTGGCACAGAGTGTTCGGGAATGTCTAGCCATGATGAGAAGATTTCCCTCCTCCCCGAGAAGAGCGTGGGGAGCCAAGTCCCTCTGCCAATGCTGCCACTGACCGTTTTCCTGAGCAGACGGGGCTGTGGTGCTCTGTGCATGGTGGCGAGTGATTCACTAAGCAAACAGCACTTTACAAAAAGAGAATCTTTATTTTGTAATATGTGTGTCCAGTGGGATTGACATTTAAAAGAACATCTCATTTAGAAGCCTTCCTTTCATTATCTCTTTTACATTATAATAGATCTAAAACCCTCTTTGCCTTATATATTCTAAGAAACCCGACATCTACTCTGTGTCCATAAAAGGGACTTGTGGCTCTAAAGCAAGGACAAACAGATTGGAGGCTTTTTCCTAACATTTCATGGGAATTAATGGATGCCGCATGGCAATTTGAGCCTAATTCTTGTGGTTTCAAGCCTATTTTATGACAAGTGTTTATGTCACAGGCCTTCCCCAAACATTTCTTTTTGGTCAACTTTGAAAAAGAAGGTTTTGTGAGATCTAAACGAAAGGAAGCAAGTGAGTAATTAGAACAAAACTGAATATTTAAAAACGACTCCTTTCCGGACAAACCTCTCCAGTTTGTGAGGCTTCACTGAAAGAGTAAGCGTGCACTGCCCTGGCCTGGGGCGCGGCCCCAGAGGGTGCTCCTTGGGTGCCTGCCACCCTGGACGGCTTCTGCTTCGGGGGAGGTTCTGTGGATCGCTGGCCCAGGAAGAGAGACAGACGGGCTGGCTCTGGGACGAAGGCCAGGAGTGAGCAGCAAACTGCCATGGCCCATGGTCACTGCCCTCAGCCATCCCTCTACCCATTTATCGCCTTAACGGGACTGCACAGAGAGGATTCTTGTGATCAGTTCGTTCTGTCATCAGGGATTATTTCCTGTACCATTTTCATAAGACAAAACCAAAATCACTACCATCAAATGGCCTTTGTCCCTTTAAAAAGTCTGCTTAAAATTCTGTTTTTTAAAAATGAGTTTCACATTACCAGGAAAATAGGAGTCAACTCCAGGAAAACAGGCCAGGAGGGTCTGCAGTGTAACACGAGCGTGCGCAGGTACTTACTCTCCAGGCGACTCTGCATGTGTAAGCCTCCTCTGAGGAGAAGGGTGCCCGGGGGTCCTGCCCTCAGTCCCCTGAACCTTAGCTGACTCCCCTGTCCTGCTAAGAGGATGAAGCAAACACAAGACGATCCCTTTGCCTTTCAGAGTGGAAGTGCTCTGGTTTGTTTTGAAAGCCTGGAGGAGGCTGAAGTGCATCTAAGCTCTGGGGGAGGGTAGCTTTGTCCTGCCGTCTCTTCCCATCCTGTGTCTCATTTGTTGGCGTCACGGACCCTGGTCTAAGGAGCCACCGCACTGTGGCCTTCCTCTGGCCGTCCCCTGAAAAATAGGTCAGCCTGCTCGCTCGCTCCACCTCCCAGGCTGCGTCCATTCGGGCCCGTGTTCACTGTGCCCCAAAGTGCAATTACCCACACCCCTTCTCAGCCTGGGGACGGCCGGTAGCTACACAGTATCTCCACTCAGGGGAGCGGAGTCCTGGGCCAGCCCTGCCTGTGCCCCTTAGGAGCTGCCCAGGGAAGGCCCCTTGTCGCTGCCCTCTTAGAGCAGATGAGCAGTCATGTGAAGACTGGGATCGATTTTTAAGTGGGATTCCTTCCCCTGTCCCTGATGGAACCCCTTGCACTGAACTTGAAAGTCACTAGATTTCTGGCAGAGAGGAAAGTGTGCTTAGGTAGGGACAGCCTCTGGGCAGCCCACCTGTCACGGCTGGCACCCCCTATGGCAGAGGTGCCTTTATAACCCATGACTGCTGTGTTGCTCCTGTGCCTGACCAAATTCTCATGTGAAACCCTCACTTCTTTTCAGGAAGGCCTAACACCGTCTCATCACCACCAAGCTCCTAGAAAAAAGCCTTCTGCCTGGGGACGGTCCATCCCACATCTTTCTTTCCTCGCCTGGGATGGCACACACAATGCTCCCTTGCCTTTTTTTTTCTCGTAGGTTCTAGTTGAGCACCTCTGATTCCATTCTTAGTCTCTGCTCTAATCACTAACTCCCAGAGATGGACCCTGGAGGCCCAAGCTCTGGAAAGGTGGTGCTCTGCTGCCATCTAGTGGGCGCAGCGGATCTGCCAGGGGGTTCCTTTAGTCGTAGCCGCTTGCCTTCAAGTTTTTGGGGGGGTTATTTATTCCCCAGTTTCCCCTCATTCTGCACGTGGCTTTGGTGGGCGGACAACATTTGGCTGAACCAGAAATGTGGGATGAGCTGGTGGTCTCAGGGCCTGGAGCCTGGTACTTGGGGGGCCAGGCCAGGAGGAGAGGGAAGTGGCTTCCTGGGTGTTGCCAGTCAGCCCTCTCTGATTTGGCCTCTGTTCCCTCAAAAGTTGGCTCGAGCACTTCCAACTTTGGCTGCCAGCAGGAATTTAGTTTTTGTGTCTGGGTGGATTTTAAGAAATTCTGGAAACTATCAAAGGCCTCTTCCGTCTCCTCCTTTTCTGCCTCATTCCACTCTTTTCAGTCTTATGGGTCTGCTTTTCAGCCTTGCTGGTGAGCCCCACCTGATTGCAGACATGCAGGCCACAGGCAGTGGGCCAGTTCCAGAGCCTCAGGTAGGGCCTGCACAGCTGGGGCTGCTGCTGCCACCCGTTGGGTTGGCTGCAGGGCTGGAGGGGGTCTGGGAACCACAGGGCCAGGAGCCGTGATGCTGTGCATTTGGCCTGAGGCAAAGTCACTTTTTGAATACTTTCCCTTTTGAATCTGATTTGAAATATGCAGCTTCCCTCTCCAGCCCAAGGAAGGACTGGAACACAGGGAAGTAAAAGCATTTATTTTTGTTTTGGACATAAGTTGTGCAGCTCTTCACCTATTTACAGGCAATGTTTATAGAAAGCTGATTGTTAATAAAAACCAAATTTACACTGGCATGTGTGGTGTAGTTTCTAAAAGGCACTTCACATTCGAAGATTTTCTTAACTTGTGAAGTTTCTAGTTATCTGAATGTCTGGTTTTGTACCCTTTTGTGTATGTTCACTGTTTCTCGGTATTACTTGAATCATTCTCTAGGGGGGTTGTTTGTGTTATACACGGGGGTCTAATCGCAGCAATAAAGCATCTCTTTAAAAAGGGATTTTTGCCATGAAAGTGTTTTCCTGCAAGAAGGCTGGGAACATCGGCAGGCATTCCAGTGGTTCTCGTCCCCCTTTCCATGATCCTCTGACTTGCACGTTGGGGAAGAAAATCATGCAGCCTCTGGAGGTATCTGTTTTCCTAGGCAGGGAGGATGGCTCCCCCAGACACTGGTGGTTGGTTGGTGGGAGGGGTTGGGTTCAGGAGAGTGTGCGGGCGTGGGAGTAAAGACAGAAGTTGCTCACACAGCTGTGCTTGCTTCAAACATCCAGGCTCTACTTGGACTCCGTGCCCTGCGAGAAGCCAGATTCAAGTTCAGGGTGTGTCTGGCGATGTGACCATGGAGCAGGTGATTATTGTCTAATTCCCTTGTGTGTTGAAACACTTACTGAGCCACAGCCTTGCTGAATAGGAGAACCAGGGAGGTTCTGGCCATAGCTCAGCCTGGCTGTATCTCCCAGTCTCTGATGGGGCCTCCCTGAATCATGGTGGTGTCATAGGTCCTTCTGCCTCGAGACTGAAAACCGTTCACAGGGCTGTGTGTGCCGAGGGCAGGCACCTACCTTTACCTGTATGCCCAAGGTGAAAACGGAGGCCAGGATTGCCCTGTACGTACTGTTCTCTAGGTGATCCCAGAGAATCGTCCACCAGTTAAGGGTACTGGAGTAACTGCCAGGAGACTTGGGAACTAAGCGGGAGGATACTCTGCCAAGTGTCCTTGCCTGACTTCGGGAGCTGCTGAGGCCTCTGGAGGAGGTGACCACGGAGGAGTTAAACAGGTATGTGCCCATGGGAGGGTGGGAGTGCTTGACTAGTGGTTGGAGGGGTGAGGAGGGTGGAGCTGAAAGAGGAATGGTGGGTGAAAAGGTGAGGTGGGGGGTGCTCCCGGAGGGGAGCCTCTCTGCTTTGGGGATCCACCAAATTTGGTGAGGGTGGCCGAAGAGATGCCCAGTGGGGTCTTGTTGCACACAGGCTTGACCCTGCTGTCCCGAGGCCTTTCTGCCCTTTAACAGCAGCCACGAAGTGATGGGGTGACGGCTGCGGCCTGGCACACTTCCAGGGGGGCAGACTACACGCAGGCCAGCCTCCTGTTTTGTAAGAAACCTTAACAGACTTATAGCCCCATTCAGTGGCATAGTGACATACTTAATGCTCATCATTTGGGGTGTCAGGCTGGTGGGAGGAGGGTGAGCCTGGTGCTATAGTAGAACTACCTAGATGACCAGGAGCAGCTGGTCCCTTTGGAAAAGATGAAATGTCTGACTAAACATTCCGAGGGGAGGGGCAGACATGCAACAAGCAAAGCGGTCAGCATGGGTTTAAAAAAAAAAAAAAAAAAAAAAGAACATCAAACACCCCCTTTTCAGGGAAAGGCCTTGAGCAGGAGCCCAGCGCTGGGTCCCGGGAAGGCGGGGGTTCTGGGCCGTAGTCAGGCGGTAGAGGCGTCACATACTCTCCACGTGTCTGAAAGATCTGGGAAATGCGTGTTGCTTACAGCAGTCACGTGACTGCAATGATAAGGATGTTTAATTGAATTTTGATATTAGAAACAAGGCTGAAGTCCACATCCATGACATTTATCTTTGTATGTGCACGCACATGTGTGTGTGGCGTGGGGAGCGGTTTGGAAGATAAATTCCTAGAAGGAGAGAAAAAGGTAAAGGTACTTAAGTTCCAAAAGCACCCTCCAGAATGGCTCACTTAAAAGAATTGGTCTCTCCTTACATTGTGTCATGGAGGTATTTTTTAAATTGTTACTAAAATTATTGTCTTCTCTCTTATCATTGATGTTTTACTTTGCGTTCTTGGATAAATGAGATTGAGCGTCTTGTTTACTGTATGTGTCTGCTTGTGTGAATTTCCATGCCTTGGCCATTTCTCTTGTTTTTTTTGGGTATGTTTTACATTAAATCATAGGTGCTTTTTCTGGTGAAAGAACATTAACTCTGGTTTGATGTAACTGGCTCATTTTTTTCTCCATTTTATTACGAAAAATTTTAATACAAAATTTTAAGTAATTGCCTAGTGAGATTTCATGTACCCTAGATTCTACAGTTAGCATTTTGCTGTATAAGCTTTACCATGTATTTCCATCTGTTCATTACACTGTCCTTCCATCACCTTGCTTTTTGAGTGCCTTTCAGAGTAGACTGCAACCGGAAGTGTGTACTTTACCCCACCTCAATTTGTATATCGTTAGCTACAATTCAGCATGTGTTTATGGTTCTTTTTGTTCTTAGGAAAAATTTACATACTGTGAAATGTATAAAACTTAAGTGTACCATCTGATGAGTCTGGCAGATGTATATACTTGTGAAACCCGAAACCATAGGTTCTGTGTTAAAATACAGAACGTTATCTCAGTCCTGAAAATTGCGATGCCTTTTCCCAGGCCACCCCTGTCCCCATACCTTCTGAAGCAAAATCGTAGTTTTGATTTTTGGTTTTAGCTTGTCCTGGAGCTTAATTTTAGTGAAGTCATGGAGCTCACACTCTTGTGTAAGCGTTCTTTAAGTCAGCACAATATTTTTGAGTTTTATCTATGCCCCGTATCAGCACATTCCTGTTTTGTGTTGAATAGTATTCCACTGTATAAATATAACAGTCTCTTCATTTTCTTATGGTTGGAGACTTGAGCTCTTTCCAGTTTTTGGCCATTATGAATAGAACTGTTAAGATTTTTTTTGTGGACACATTTTCATTTCTCTTGGGTAAATACCTAGGCACAAAATGCTGGTTCAGAGAGGGTAGAGATGTTTAGTTTTATAAGAAACTAAAGAAACATTTTCACAAAGCAGGTGTACCATTTTACATCCCCACCAACAAAGTGGAAGGCTTCCAGTTACTTTAGACCCTTGCAACATTTGGTGTTGTCAATCACTAACCTAAAATATAAGAATTTTAGCTGTTCACATAGATACGTAGCTGTAATTTGCTTTTATTTTTTTTTAATATTTTATTTATTTATTTGACAGAGATAGATCACAAGTAGGCAGAGAGGCAGGCAGAGAGAGAGAGGGAGAAGCAGGCTCCCTGCTGAGCAGAGAGCCTGATGCGGGGCTCGATCCCAGGACCCTGAGATCATGACCCGAGCCGAAGGCAGAGGCTTAACCCTCTGAGCCACCCAGGTGCCCCTGCTTTTAATTTGCATTTGTAGTTTTAATTTGCATTTTCCCAGTGATTAATGATGTTGCGTGTCTTTTTGTGTGCTTCTTGTCATGTGCTTATTTGCCATTCACAAATCTTCTTTATATTTTTTATAGAAATATTTTTTTTTTTGAAAAATTTTTTAAAATTTCTTTTCAGTGTAACAGAATTCATTGTTTTTGCACGACACCCAGTGCTCCATGAAATACGTGCCCTCCTTAATACCCACCACCTGGCTCCCTCAACCTCCCACCCCACCCCTCCGCCCCTTCAAAATGCTCAGGTTGTTTTTCAGAGTCCATAGTCTCTCGTGGTTCACCTCCCCTTCCAATTTCCCTCAACTCCCTTCTCCTCTCCATCTCCCCTTGCCCTCCATGCTATTTGTTAGGCTCCACAAATAAGTGAAACCATACGATAATTGACTCTCTCTGCTTGACTTATTTCACTCAGCATAATCTCTTCCAGTCCCGTCCATGTTGCTACAAAAGTTGGGGATTCATCCTTTCTGATGGAGGCATAATACTCCATGGTGTATATGGACCACATCTTCCTTATCCATTCGTCCGTTGAAGGGCATCTTGGTTCTTTCCACAGTTTGGCGACCGTGGCCATTGCTG